CTGCAAAATTTGTGGTTCAGGTTCAGTTCAGGTTCATTGAACCTAAATTTGAACTGAACTGAACCTAGGAACCCTATTGTAGAGATAGGGATCGATTTCTATTTTCTAGAGAAGAATGGCAAGAACGTCGAGATCAAGATGGCTGTTGAGATTGAGATAGCTGTCGAGATTGAGATGGTTGTCGAGATTGAGATGGTTGCTGTTGAGATTGAGATGGTTGTCAAGATTGAAATAGTTGTTATTGATTATTTTTCATTTTTGAAAAAATACTATGAATGCTTGCAATAGAATCTGAAGAATCATAATCAAAATAATTATTATCATCAAGAGTAGGAGGGTTAGCGATATTATCAGAATTAATAGAAGGGTTAGTGATATATGTTGAAATATCAGCATTAGTTGTTTTGGTATTGGATATTTTAGAAGAGTTAGTGGTATTAGATGCTGTATTAGTAGGTGAGTTGTTCGAGTTGTTTGATATTTTCAAAAATGAAAAAAAATTATTTACCTTCAAATAACAAAAATCCATTATTTTATATATTTGTGTATTAATTAAATCTAATGATAGTAATTATATGTAAAAAAAATTTAATAAAGTTATTGTTATATAAAAAATGAAAATACTTATTTTCGTTTTGTCATCGCATTGTTATATAATTTCTGTCTGTTATTATAGAGTTTCTGGGCTGAAGATCACTGTCGATCTAATTCCGAAGCCAAAACATTAAATTTCTTTAAACTTCTAGCAACGATTTCTCAATAACCATTTGATCAAATTTAGTAAACTGTTTTATTTTTATTATTATTTTTTTTTAACGACGCTGCTTCTTTATTACTCATTATAGTGGAATGTACACGAATATACATTATTCTTACAAGATTTTCAGCACATCATTGGTATCAAATTTCTAACTAGTACCTGTTATGCTGCCATCACCGAGTTCATATCTCAAGCTACTTTTTAAAGCACTGCCGAAACTCGATCTGTATCTCAAGCCACAACCTTCCTAATTAGTCATCCCCTACTGCAAATGTCCCAGGTCCCTCTTCCTGCAGTGTTTCAGTTCTTGAAATTCCAGAACCACTTTGAGTGAGACGTATCAAACCTTACGACCCAGTATAGTCATATTAACTCCAATTTACCTCACCATTATCCTTATATCCTGTGAGGTTTGCTTACCCCGGCTCTAGGTACCTCCAGATTATTGGATGGCAGGATATTTCCATTTTGCTAGATATCACATGTTTCACATATTTGTTCTTTATCTAGACTTTAGTAATCTACATCACAGCTCTACCTATATACTTGAGGTTAGGGCTAACTATTGAACCCCTGTAATTACCTACTTCTGCCCTTATTAGATTTCCAACAACCCTGGTACCCGTATTTGGACCGTCTTTTTACCCAGATTCTTTATTGGTTTTTCCCTTACTTCCAGCTGGCAACTCGGAAGAGTTGGTCTGCCCAGGCTTTAGGTACCCTAAAAGATGCTCTTCCCTTGGTACATACTTTCGGAGCGTATATTCTTTT